CTGCAGGGTGAGCAGACAGTGCTGCGTCTGCTGCAGGGCCGGGGTCTCAGCACAGCTGGGCTCTTAGTTTTCTTTTATTATGGAAAGCAAATCCATCTCCATGAAGCTTCTGCCCATGGGTCCCACTGAAGCCAGCTGGGCCACCCAGGACAAGCCAAGGCTGGACCTCACACGCTTGGTGGGACTTCTGTCTTCTGCACACTTGGCAGGCCCCATGCCCTTAGTCCCCCGTTGCTCTCTTCTCCCACTCAGGGTCTCTCGGGACCAGCCTTGGTCCCCATCGCTGCCCTCCCCAGGATCATCTGAACCCACCTTCTCTGGCCCACGATCACTGGATCTGAATGACCCACATTTTCTTTACTGTACTCAATCATCCCCACCACCTCTGATCCAACTCAAAGTCAAGGATCTGCCTGGCATTCATGCCAGTGTTCTCGGTGGTCTTCGAGATGGGCAAACGAAGGGCACAAGCAGAAGCTGTGTGGGGACATCACTCTTCCCCTCAGGGTTTTGTGGTGAGGCTACGGACGCTGCTTCCAAAAGGGCTGTCCCACTTTGCCATCAGTGGGAAAGGGCCCTGTCCCTGATGCTCTCAATAAACACAATTTTAAAATTCTCCATGTTTGAAAAGGAAAACAGTGAAAAATTAATTGAAAGTGAGACCACCAAACCCTATGTCTTGCTCAGATTTTGGCAGCCGAACTACTGACAGAACGTTAACCTCTGGTCGAGTTTTCCTGAATAAAAACATCACAGAATTGCCCAACATTATGATAGAGCAAAGTGTCTGTGAAACTCTCGTAGGCTTACAGAGAACGGAAGAACAGATCCGAACTTGGGGAGGCTCCTGGCAGGTGGGCGGGGGGGGGGGGGCGTGTGCCTCATGGAGAACTGTACAGTGGTCCCCATGTGCCTGCACCCCTTACCGCCCAGGCCAGCAGCCTCAGGACTTGGGTGGGGGGCACTGAGCATGCCCCCACAGTTCTGAGGCCTGTGGTAGTAAAGGGCACAGGGTGTCCCAGTCAGGAAGTAGCTTTGTCCTCACCCCCAGAGCCTTCCCCGCAGGCCAGGTCACCTCCACACCATAGGACTCCTTACACCATCATGGTTACCCAGGAGCCCAGGGAAGGGGGCTCATCCACGCACCCTCTGCTCACGGTCAGCTGTGAATTGGTCAGGGTGGCAGCCGAGTACTTACAAAGATGAGGAGTCCTTCAGCCATTGCCTCTGCTCGCGGAGTTTTCTAGACTCACCCAATTCCCTTAACATTGTAGACAGAAGAAACGGCTGTTTACGTGGAGCACAGTAGGCCTCTGGGGCCACGTGGTGCGGAATTCAATTCCTAGCCTTCAGTAGAGACGAGCCACACTAGGGGACTACGTGAGAGCCAGTGCCATGAGCCCCTCGCTGGAAGGAACCCCAGTTCCCACCTGCCATGCGCAGCCCTGGTGGACGGGATCTCTGGGGTGGACGCGGCACAAGGGGGGACGATGCTCAGCCTTCGCTTTCTGAGTGGGCACATAGAAGGTAAGAGACAGCGGCTGTACCTCCTCCAGGAGCCAGGATGCCTGTGCAGAGGCTCCTTACCTTGTGTAGTTGGGGACGGCACTGAGGTCCACGTGGGAAGCCACAATGGCACCAGGAGCCCCAGTGGACCGCACACCCCTTCCCTGGACAGACTTCCAGACCTTCTCTGGAGACACTAAAAGGGGCTGGGGATGTGGCTCCATGGTAGAGCGCTTGCCTCGCATGCTCAAGGCCCCAACTTTGAGCCCCAGCACCCCCACAAACACAAAATAAATAGAAATGGTGTACATCACTGAATCGGAAGCACCCCTTCCCTTGAGAGTCCTCCAGTCTCTGGTGCTTGTGACAGCTGAGCAGTAGTCACTGGCCTGATTTCCTCAGGGATGTACAAAAGGCCTCCCGGGGTAGACCCATGTGGCCAGCATCTGCGGCTCTCATGGCTTGGCTTCTGGTTGGATTTGGTGAGGAGGGGACTGAGTAGACAGAGGTCAGGAGGAGCTAGGGTGCTGCCCTGTTCACCTGCAGGACCGTGTCCCTCTGCTGAAGGCCACAGCTCCCTGCTGGAGACACGTCCCTCCTTGCCCAGCTCCCCCACACCTCTGCAGACAGTTCCCAGGGTAACTCCGCAGTGACCAGCGGGGGGCCTTGTATCTGCCCCCAGGATCCTGACTGACTGTCTATGAGGTTTTGTTTTTGACACTCTCAGGGGATCTGAATGTCGTCATCTGTCCCAGCAGGTGGGTCAGAACCATAAACTCAATGGCTTCCCAGGCACCTTCGTAGGGCTGTCTGGCTCTCCAATCATGGTGCTCCAGCTCCAGGCTGGGCCTGTGCAGCGGTGGTAACCGACCTGTGTTCTGTGGGAGCCACCAACAGGTATTCTTACAGCTCTGGTAGAATATGCACAGCTGGCTTTAATTTCGAGAACACAATGCTTCATTTGGATGGTTCACACAATGTGCTTAAGGAATTACTAGTTATGAAGACCATTAAAAGTGGCTGGGGATGTGGCTCACGCTAAGAAGCTTGCCTAGCATGCTCAAGGCCCCAACTTTGAGCCCCAGCACCCGCACTAACACAAAATAAACAAATAAATAGAAACAGTGTACATCACTGAATCTAAAATGACTTCAATGGCAGGACACAATCTGACTCATAAATGCTAAAATATGGAGAGAAATTGTGCCTTAGAAATAAGAGAATAATCTCAGTAGCTCAGGAGGCTGAGGCAGGAGGATAGTGAGTTCAAAGCCAGTCTCAGAAAAATCGAGGCCCTAAGCAACTCGTGAGACCCTGTCTTTACATAAAATACAAAATTGGGCTGGGGGTGTGGCTCAGTGGTTGGTTGAGTATCCCTAAGTTCAATCCCCAGTACCACCTGCTTCCTCAAAAACGAAATAACAGAATTCAAACTGGATCACAAAAGCAACTCAGTCTCACTTTTCCCAGGGAAAAGGATACTTACTCTTTTTACAAACAACTTACTGCTTATTTTCTATTGGAAAGATGTCACTAGAAAGTGAGGGGCAGTTCCCCTGGGCCCTGTGCTTCTGCATGCGTGTCACCCATTCACTGGCCCCTGCAGGAGCCCTGCTAAGATTTCCAGGGTGGGTCTTTCCGTGGCAGCTGTCTTTCTGTTTTCACCACCCCCTCTGCAACAAGACCTTCAAAGACAGCGGCCTGCAGCTGGCCAGGACAGGTCCTCTCTGTCCCCGCCTGGAGAAATACTGTGGCTTGGTGCATACCAAAAACCCCAGGGACTCAGCAGGTGGACTTGGAATGCACCAGGGGCCCAACAAGCTCAGGTCACTTATCAGCCTTCCTTCAAACTTACCGCTGGCCAAACGCACCTTCCCAACTGCTGCCAGGCCCTACCTCACAGCAGCTGCCACATCCTTGGGACAATTAAAATGTACCACCCGAGTAGTTACAGGCTGACCTGGTAATCCGTTTCTACCATGTTGTGCTCTGTCAACAAACCACAGGCCAGCTGGAAATACCACATGTCCCATCACACACTTATCTGTGGAGAGGGTCGGGGCTCCTCTCCCCTGACTCACGTCCCCTCACGGGGAGCCTGGAGGTGGGGGCACAGCTACTGTCCCAAGGCTGCATCAGGGTGGGCTGTGGCCATGGCTTTTGGCTGACCGGTTGCTGGAAGGAGACTTGGGAGTGTGAAGGAGACTCACCAACCTCAGGCATTTGTATCAGATTCTTTCCAGTGGGCAGGCAGCAGCACTAGGTGGGTGCTTTGATCCATTATTATTTTCAACATTGTTATTTTGACAGAATCACCCTTGTTTATCGCAACATGAGAAAACTGGGTTTTATTGTCTACCCTTATTAGCAGAATGCTTATGGGAGGCGAACCAGGAAGAAGTGTGGTGGGAAGGGCTGTCGGACCTTGTGAGCAGCCCTGAGCTCTCTGGCTCTCAATCATCTGTCCACTCACAACTGAAGGGGGAGCTATGCATGCCACCAGAACACCTGCTCGTCCCTGCTACTAGGTGCTGTGGGCTCATGCTAATCCACAGGCACAGGAGGGACAGGCGGTCTTCTCTAGCAGGGCCAGCATCTATTGACCTGTGGTTCTGGACACAGACCAGTGGAGCACGCAGGAACAGCACGGCAGACACGCAGAAAGGAAAAGGACCTAAGTAATGAAGAGCGTTCCGGAGTGGGGACCCTTGCTGAAGACAGACTTGCAATTGCCGTTCTCACAAAAGCCATTTGTGTCATGAGAACCATGCTTGGGAATTTTAACTTTCCTCTGAAGTATTTCTGTAACTTGTCTATTAGATTGGACTAGTTCTGCCCCTCATGACGCGGGGCATGTGCACGTGTGCTCAGGCACACACATGCACCCATCTCCACTTGTGTCTGTGGAATAAAAAAACGTAAACTTATTGGAAGGAGCCACATCAGAAAGATCACCCCTGCCATCATGGAGACGATGGGGGATTCAGCAAGTCAAAGGAGAATCAAGGCAAACCACAGCACCTGGACCACTAAGGGAACCCGCAAAGCAAAGGAGTCAGTGTGCCTGACAGAAGAGGAAGAGGGGGCTGTAGGACAGGCCGCTGAGCACCAGGTGAGCCGCCATCTAGGACAACCGAGACCAGCCAGGATCAGAGGTGACGCCTGACTGAGGTGGTGAGACCCACCCACCTGGAGTGGCTGTTGTGCCCGGGTTGCCCAGGTGGGGACAGGGTACAGAACTCGACCAGGCCTGTGATGGAGACAGTGCTGCCGTCTACCGGCAACTGCAGGAAGGCCCCAGGGTTGAGCCAGACAATCAGACAGTGAGAAGGTGCCAGGGCCCTGTTGTGCCACCTTGAAAACAGAAAGCACACACAGGAGCCTGCGTGACTGGGCACTGGTGTTCTAAGGGGATCTCATTTCACAACCTGGAAAACCACAAGTGAATTTTCAGAAATGCAGACAGTCACTCTGGGGGTCCCGGATCACCTTACCTTCAGCAGTGCCAGAGAGCCCATCGGCTTTGAAGTTGCTGGTACTTTTCTTCCTTCGGTGCTTCTTTCTGTTGGCGTGGGGGGAGGGGGGCGGGTCGAGCTTGGGGCTGGTGGAGCTGGAGATACTGGGGCTGGAGCACACGGAGTCACCCAGTCCTGTGTCTGCCACCGGACCGGAAAAGGCAAAAAAATGCAAAGGTAAGCACAGAGAAAGGAGACTTGGGGAAAACACTCAAGCAATGCTCCTCCAGCACCACACAGGGGCCTGCACATGGTGCCCAGTCATGAGGTTGCAGATCAGAGGCCCAGAGCCTCCGCAGGAGAAGATCATGGTCCCCTGGCCACCTGCAGGCACCGATTTCTGCATCACCTTCATGCTGGGAGAATTTAAAATTTTCTACTTTGCGTGATGGGGGTCTTGAAAACTCATTTGCAGAATATATGATCTCTGCCAAAGGGAAGCAGTGAGCTTGTGGTTTTCAGTTGATTCTCTTTTCCCATAATTACCTTGACACGCCAGAAAGAAATGAAGACAGCCAGGAAAGCACGAGAGTGCACCTTTAAGGGACTGACTGTGTGCATGCAGGATGAGGGACCTGATTCCTTCTTCTCCTCAACACTACATATGAAGGTAGCTCCAATTGCAACTGGTGAAAATCAGTGTGCCCTTTCTCCCACCAGTGTCCTGCGATGGCACTTGAAAGCCCATTAGGTAGACCCCTCTGTTTTTAATGCACTGGAGCAACTTTTAAAGGTTTGAAAGCCAGTGTGCACATATGATCACTCACTGCCAGCAAAACTCTTAATTTATTACCAATCTTTATCTTTACCAAAGAGAAGGTCAAAAGTGATGCTAAGTGACCAGGAAAGAGCATAGAATTGTACAGAAGTTGGAGGAGGTGATAGGACACCTTCCCCCCAGAGTCGTGAGAATTCTCCATTCATGATTCAGCAGGTTAACAACCTCAGGGACAGAAGGCTCTGCCCTACTTCAAGTACTCTCAGCCTCGACTCCGAGCACCAGCTGCTGGCCAGCCACTGGACCCATCCCTGAGGACACCATATCAGGATCCCTGCCTGGAGGTCCTGGCACAGTAGCTGGGCACCCAGCATCCCCCAGTACTCCCTGCCCCAAGGCTGACACCCTCCACTCTGCCCGACACCTGGCCTCTCTCTCTGGGGGACTGCACCCAGGGGACAGCGGGCATCATGTCCCCTCTGGCTTGCTGTTGGACTACGATGGCCAGGTGTGGGGGAAGCGTGCAGCTTGATATCAGACATGGTTCGGCCCCTGCCTCAAGGAGGCCCAGACCCTGGCTCAGTCTTTTCCAAAGTCACCCCTCTCTGTGCATGGCCTCTCCGTGTGAGCCACCTGCTGTCTGATCCTTGGGCTCGGAGCCACCCCCAGGGGCCTCCTTCCCGCATTCTAGCTTAAAGCCGGCCAGGCTTTCCAACGTGGTGGCTCTCGCCTAAGTATTTAAATACTTGATTCCACTGAGTGTCAGGTGGAAGTGTAGACACTCCAGGGGGAAGAAAGAGCTGGATCCTGTCATTTCTGTGCCCGTTTCCAGTGTTCTGAAGCCACGGTGGCCCCGGGGTACGCAGGCTCAGACCTCACTTCGTCCTGAGGCAGCCCTACGTGTTACTTGGTGCTCAAGCCTGGCTGAGTCGTACTGCACATTTTAAATCTCTTCTGCTCTCATGCTGCTCATGGATGCGGAGGAGCAGTACCAGGTCCTCCCTGGCGGCTGTGGGTGCCGATTTCACTAGTCCACCCTGTCCGCAGGTGCCCTCCATTCACCAGGCTGAGTGTGCTCCTGATACCTTCCTGCTGTTCTTCTGCCACTGAATATTGGCTCCCTCCCAAATCACCATGTCTCCTTTCTGAACTGTATGTAGAGCCCACATTTGGGACTATGTGCACTTGGCTGCCAGATGACCTGTTCCCCAGGCCACATCGGGGGCTGGCCTTCCCTGCAGGGTGGTGAAGAGCATCAGGACAGGCCCTCCTTCCACTGTCTGGAGGGTCCTGTCTTTGTTAGAGCGTATCAATATCCTTTCTAAGACACTAGAATGTGCACAGTAACTGGAGGGTCCACATGACAGATCTCCACCCGCGTGTGGAGTGTCATTCCTTGACTCGCTGTTCTACTCTGCAACTCCTCACTAGCTGTGTTCTACGTGAGCACCTGGTCTTCAGAGCTGCTGCCTTCCAAGCCTACACCTGGTTATTCTTCACAACTGTCTTACTGTTCTCGGCCGTTCTGAGCATTCACCTCCATATCCATCCAAGTTGATTAAAACAACAGAAAGGGTGGGGTGGAGATTCAGCCTGACTCCTTCAGATGCACCAATCAGTACGTGGAAGCTTCTCAGAATCATTGCTGAGCCAGGTAATGCACACTGACTCTGTGTCCAGCTCAGATGCCTTTGAATTTGTCCACAAAGAAACCAAGGGACAATCTTGACAAACCCTTTGCTGAAGGGCAGAGGGGGTACCCTATTCATGTATTTTTGACAATTTAAAAACAATAAAGGGGCATCCATTAGGTATTTCTCCTCTTTGAGGAACTGTCCCTGTTCAGGGCAGTCACTGTTTCCTTCTCTATATGCATGCAAAGTGCTTCCTTCAGGATGCTCTGCGGGGACCTTAAAGTCACTAGCACGTCATGCTTAGAGTTCGCCTGGCTGGGAATCAAGATGAACGTGTCTTCCAGGCAGTACCCTCGGGCTGCAGAAAGCCTTTTCCAAGGCAACCGACAAGAACCTGGCCATCTCGTCTTCCGTCTTCTTGGGGTCTTGGAATACTCAGTTCAGGAAGGGACTCTGGCACACCAGGAGGGCGGCAGCAAGTGTCTTCCGGGAGAGAGACTGTATGGAGATGATGCCACCCCCTCACCAGGAGGCCACCAGGGCCAGCCCCATCAGCACTTCCTTTGTCTCCCTGTTTTTCCGGTGGACCTTTGATAGCTGAGATCTGTCCCCAGTGGCTCTGAATGCTCCAAAACCACTGGTGCTCAGCTAGGAATGCCCTCTCAGTTAGCAATGAATGAAAACACTCTGTCCCTCTCTCTCTTTCTGCAGTACTAGGATTGAACCCAGGAGTGCTCTACCTCTGAGCTGTACCCCCAAACCTTAAAAAAAATTTTTTTTCAGACCAGGTTTTGCTAAGTTGCTGGGGTGGCCTCAAACTTGCCATTCTCCTGCCTCAGCCTTCATCGTAGCCAGGGTGACTGTATCACTGCCCCTGGCAGCTGAAGATATTCTGGGTTATCAAACTGAGCAGAGTGGAGGTGCTACAGGTTCCAAGGGCTGATCCCTGAGATGAGGAAAATGCCCTATGGGCAGGAGGGATGGCCACCTACAAAGAACCACCCTGTCCAATGTCAGTAATGAGAATCCCCTGGGACGGTGACTCATCTTCCAGTCTCCACCCTCTCACACTCTGTCCTTGGGCTTATATTCGGTCAGTGCAAACCACCACCCATTGGTGGTCTCTTTTTGGAAGGCCCGCTCCACCTTGTGCCAACTAAAAGCCTGGCTCTCCCGGGGACGCGCCTCCCAGGTGATGGCACTGTGAATCCCACCCATGTACCAAAAAGCGAGCATCCTCCTTCCCCTCAACCCCGGGTCCCTCATGAGCGTCTGTCCCTCAGCCTGCTCTGTTCCCACAGAGCCCAGGTCATGTCTTGGACCACTGCAGCAGCTTACCCTGTCCTCACCTGTGACAACAGCTCTGTCCTCCTAGGTGGCCTCTGTCCTCCTTAGTCAAGCTCTCTTCTCCCCAGACCTCAGCTGCCGTCACTTGTGGTCATCCCCCAGGGCTGCCCGCAGCAGGACACCCACCACACTAGCACCCAGGCTCATCTAAGGACCCCTGGGGTCTTCACAGCCTGACACCCCATCTCCCCACACCCAGAGGGGCCAGAGCCACACACGACTTGAAACCTGCCCTTCAAACTCAGCTCAGATTCCTTCTTCCTCCATCCTTCCTGACCAGGTCACCTGACTTTCCTTAGCCCTCAGAATCTGTACCTGCAACTGGGCCAGGGCCAGGGCCAGGGGAGCATGCTGACCCGCCTCCACTCTAGGGCCCTGGCCTGTCCACCAGTGTCACCACACCTCTGTAGGAAATCCCTCCCCTGCCTTCCCGTGGCCACGTCCTCGCTCCTCACACTCCCTCCTCCACAGTTGCCCCCAGCCTCACTTTTCACTACGAAGACAAAAGAAAAGCATCAACCAGAAGCAAGCGCCCTGCCATGCCAGCCCCAGTCCCCCATTCTGGACCTCCTAGGCCTGCGAGTTGCACCCGCCTGCTTGCTGACGCAGGGCCTCGGCTCCGGCATTTGTCCCCACGCAGGGCACCAGGTGGCTGGACTGTCTCCCTCCCTCCACCCCAGGCCCCGCCCACTTCTCTTAGATTCTGCTCCCTTTAGAGTAAAGTCCCAAGGCCTTTGCCTCTTCACTGCTGCCCACAGCTGTCCTTGCTCCAGCCACTGGCAGGTCCTTGCTGAGGCCACCAGTGCCCCGCCCTTGCTGGCTGGTAGACAATCCTTGATGGGCAGCACCTCGTCTCCACTCCGCCGGCACAGCCCTCCTTCCCTCCCAGCCCAGGGAATCACGGTGAGGCTCCAGGCCAGGCAGCTGGGAAGGAGCCACGAGGTTCTGAGCCCTGGAAGCCCAGGGGAGCCTTCTCTCCACCCAGCCTCGGCCGCTGCCTGCCCAGCCTGTCTCCCTGGCTTGGTGGCTCTATCCACAAGGTGACAACATAACACCTGTGCATCTATTTCCCTGTTGACTGGACACTGCTCTCCACCCCATGGATGCAGGGCCTTGTGTATCCCTTCTACCTGGGTGGGAAGGGGGCACACTCTGCATGGATGACGGGAGGGGTACTTGCTAAGCTGTTTGTAGAGCTGGCCTCTTCGCGGGAGGCCACGCAGGCGAGAAACTGCTTTTGGTGTGTAACAGAGAAGCATTTCAACTGTTTTTTTTTTAAATATTTTTTTTAGTTGTCAATGGATCTTTATTATTTAATCTACTTGCTCCTGCAAGTGCTCTACCACTGAGCCACAACCCCAGCCTTCATTTCAAAACTAACTACAAGCATGCTTTAGTGTCAGACTGCTGTCCTGTGAGTTTCCAATCGTTTGGAAAGGAAG